CCATAAAGAAAAAGCCAAACTTCAAGAAAATCGGATGAGATTTGACCGAGTTATGGGGGTGGTAAACTTTGACCCATGTCTATATACGAATCTTGGGGTAAGATTTGGACATGAATTTCGACTAAAAAATCGGTGTTCAGATTTGAATGCCAGATTAATCTAGAGGGAAAACCATGAAGAAAAAGCCAAACTTCATGAAAATCGGATGAGATTTGACCGAGTTATGGGGGTTGTAAACTTTGACCCATGTCTATATACGAATCTTGGGGTAAGATTGGGACATGAATTTCGACTAAAAAATCGATGTTAAGATTTGAATGCCAGATTAATCTAGAGGGAAAACCATGACGAAAAAGCCAAACTTCGTGAAAATCGAATGAGATTTGACCGAGTTATGGGGGTTGTAAACTTTGACCCATGTCTATATACGAATCTTGGGGTAAGATTTGGACATGAATTTCGAATAAAAAATCGATGTTAAGATTTGAATGCCAAATTAATCTAGAGGGAAAACCATGAAGAAAAAGCCAAACTTCATGAAAATCGGATGAGATTTGACCGAGTTATAGGGGTGGTAAATTTTGACCCATGTCTATATACGAATCTTGGGGTAAGATTTGGACATGAATTTCGACTAAAAAATCGATGTTAAGATTTAAATGCCACATTAATCTAGAGGGAAAACCATGAAGAAAAAGCCAAACTTCATGAAAATCGGATGAGATTTGACCGAGTTATGGGGGTTGTAAACTTTGACCCATGTCTATATACGAATCTTGGGGTAAGATTTGGACATGAATTTCGACTAAAAAATCGATGTTAAGATTTGAATGCCAGATTAATCTAGAGGGAAAACCATGAAGAAAAAGCTAAACTTCATGCAAATCGGATGAGATTTGACCGAGTTATAGGGGTGGTAAATTTTGACCCATGTCTATATACGAATCTTGGGGTAAGATTTGGACATAAATTTCGACTAAAAAATCGGTGTTCAGATTTAAATGCCAGATTAATCTAGAGGGAAAACCATGAAGAAAAAGCCAAACTTCAAGAAAATCGGATGAGATTTGACCGAGTTATGGGGGTGGTAAACTTTGACCCATGTCTATATACGAATCTTGGGGTAAGATTTGGACATGAATTTCGACTAAAAAATCAGTGTTCAGATTTAAATGCCAGATTAATCTAGAGGGAAAACCATGAAGAAAAAGCCAAACTTCATGAAAATCGGATGAGATTTGACCGAGTTATGGGGGTGGTAAACTTTGACCCATGTCTATATACGAATCTTGGGGTAAGATTTGGACATGAATTTCGACTAAAAAATCGGTGTTCAGATTTGAATGCCAGATTAATCTAGAGGGAGATTTGACCGAGTTATGGGGGTTGTAAACTTTGACCCATGTCTATATACGAATCTTGGGGTAAGATTGGGACATGAATTTCGACTAAAAAATCGATGTTAAGATTTGAATGCCAGATTAATCTAGAGGGAAAACCATGACGAAAAAGCCAAACTTCGTGAAAATCGAATGAGATTTGACCGAGTTATGGGGGTTGTAAACTTTGACCCATGTCTATATACGAATCTTGGGGTAAGATTTGGACATGAATTTCGAATAAAAAATCGATGTTAAGATTTGAATGCCAAATTAATCTAGAGGGAAAACCATGAAGAAAAAGCCAAACTTCATGAAAATCGGATGAGATTTGACCGAGTTATAGGGGTGGTAAATTTTGACCCATGTCTATATACGAATCTTGGGGTAAGATTTGGACATGAATTTCGACTAAAAAATCGATGTTAAGATTTAAATGCCACATTAATCTAGAGGGAAAACCATGAAGAAAAAGCCAAACTTCATGAAAATCGGATGAGATTTGACCGAGTTATGGGGGTTGTAAACTTTGACCCATGTCTATATACGAATCTTGGGGTAAGATTTGGACATGAATTTCGACTAAAAAATCGATGTTAAGATTTGAATGCCAGATTAATCTAGAGGGAAAACCATGAAGAAAAAGCTAAACTTCATGCAAATCGGATGAGATTTGACCGAGTTATAGGGGTGGTAAATTTTGACCCATGTCTATATACGAATCTTGGGGTAAGATTTGGACATAAATTTCGACTAAAAAATCGGTGTTCAGATTTAAATGCCAGATTAATCTAGAGGGAAAACCATGAAGAAAAAGCCAAACTTCAAGAAAATCGGATGAGATTTGACCGAGTTATGGGGGTGGTAAACTTTGACCCATGTCTATATACGAATCTTGGGGTAAGATTTGGACATGAATTTCGACTAAAAAATCAGTGTTCAGATTTGAATGCCAGATTAATCTAGAGGGAAAACCATGAAGAAAAAGCCAAACTTCATGAAAATCGGATGAGATTTGACCGAGTTATGGGGGTTGTAAACTTTGACCCTTGTCTATATACGAATCTTGGGGTAAGATTTGGACATGAATTTCGAATAAAAAATCGATGTTAAGATTTGAATGCCAAATTAATCTAGAGGGAAACCATGAAGAAAAAGCCAAACTTCATGAAAATCGGATGAGATTTGACCGAGTTATAGGGGTGGTAAATTTTGACCCATGTCTATATACGAATCTTGGGGTAAGATTTGGACATGAATTTCGAATAAAAAATCGATGTTAAGGTTTGAATGCCAAATTAATCTAGAGGGAAAACCATGAAGAAAAAGCCAAACTTCATGAAAATCGGATGAGATTTGACCGAGTTATAGGGGTGGTAAATTTTGACCCATGTCTATATACGAATCTTGGGGTAAGATTTGGACATGAATTTCGACTAAAAAATCGATGTTAAGATTTAAATGCCACATTAATCTAGAGGGAAAACCATGAAGAAAAAGCCAAACTTCATGAAAATCGGATGAGATTTGACCGAGTTATGGGGGTGGTAAACTTTGACCCATGTCTATATACGAATCTTGGGGTAAGATTTGGACATGAATTTCGACTAAAAAATCAGTGTTCAGATTTGAATGCCAGATTAATCTAGAGGGAAAACCATGAAGAAAAAGCCAAACTTCATGAAAATCGGATGAGATTTGACCGAGTTATGGGGGTTGTAAACTTTGACCCTTGTCTATATACGAATCTTGGGGTAAGATTTGGACATGAATTTCGAATAAAAAATCGATGTTAAGATTTGAATGCCAAATTAATCTAGAGGGAAACCATGAAGAAAAAGCCAAACTTCATGAAAATCGGATGAGATTTGACCGAGTTATAGGGGTGGTAAATTTTGACCCATGTCTATATACGAATCTTGGGGTAAGATTTGGACATGAATTTCGAATAAAAAATCGATGTTAAGGTTTGAATGCCAAATTAATCTAGAGGGAAAACCATGAAGAAAAAGCCAAACTTCATGAAAATCGGATGAGATTTGACCGAGTTATAGGGGTGGTAAATTTTGACCCATGTCTATATACGAATCTTGGGGTAAGATTTGGACATGAATTTCGACTAAAAAATCGATGTTAAGATTTAAATGCCACATTAATCTAGAGGGAAAACCATGAAGAAAAAGCCAAACTTCATGAAAATCGGATGAGATTTGACCGAGTTATGGGGGTGGTAAACTTTGACCCATGTCTATATACGAATCTTGGGGTAAGATTTGGACATGAATTTCGACTAAAAAATCAGTGTTCAGATTTGAATGCCAGATTAATCTAGAGGGAAAACCATGAAGAAAAAGCCAAACTTCATGAAAATCGGATGAGATTTGACCGAGTTATGGGGGTTGTAAACTTTGACCCTTGTCTATATACGAATCTTGGGGTAAGATTTGGACATGAATTTCGAATAAAAAATCGATGTTAAGATTTGAATGCCAAATTAATCTAGAGGGAAACCATGAAGAAAAAGCCAAACTTCATGAAAATCGGATGAGATTTGACCGAGTTATAGGGGTGGTAAATTTTGACCCATGTCTATATACGAATCTTGGGGTAAGATTTGGACATGAATTTCGAATAAAAAATCGATGTTAAGGTTTGAATGCCAAATTAATCTAGAGGGAAAACCATGAAGAAAAAGCCAAACTTCATGAAAATCGGATGAGATTTGACCGAGTTATAGGGGTGGTAAATTTTGACCCATGTCTATATACGAATCTTGGGGTAAGATTTGGACATGAATTTCGACTAAAAAATCGATGTTAAGATTTAAATGCCACATTAATCTAGAGGGAAAACCATGAAGAAAAAGCCAAACTTCATGAAAATCGGATGAGATTTGACCGAGTTATGGGGGTTGTAAACTTTGACCCTTGTCTATATACGAATCTTGGGGTAAGATTTGGACATGAATTTCGACTAAAAAATCGATGTTAAGATTTAAATGCCACATTAATCTAGAGGGAAAACCATGAAGAAAAAGCCAAACTTCATGAAAATCGGATGAGATTTGACCGAGTTATGGGGGTTGTAAACTTTGACCCATGTCTATATACGAATCTTGGGATAAGATTTGGACATGAATTTCGACGAAAAAATCGATGTTAAGATTTGAATGCCAGATTAATCTAGAGGGAAAACCATGAAGAAAAAGCCAAACTTTATAAAAATCGGATGAGATTTGACCGAGTTATGGGGGTGGTAAACTTTGACCCATGTCTATATACGAATCTTGGGGTAAGATTTGGACATGAATTTCTACCTTTTTCGCTAATGTTGCGAGCTAAATTTTCCAAATGCGGATGGAATTTCCCGCAATCCCAAAATTAACAAAAAAATATTTTCATCATTTGCGGACGCAATCTAGCAAAAAAAAAAATAATTGACAATCGCACCATTTTTCCGAGTAACACTTTTATTATGTCAAATTAAGAGATGCAATACTACCTCTATTGTTAAAGGCGACTCATACTTAACCAATGTTAATTCATCGATATATTTACATTCGATATTTTCTACATATTTACCACATTTCCTATTTGTTCATTATCAGTCTGTCTGCTTTTCTCTTTTTGTTTCGTTCACAACCCTGGTAATCGGACCAATTTCTGAAAACTATTCGGGATAACATTTCGTTAAGAAATTCGTAGCTACAAAACCACAATAAGTATACAGAATGGTTGTTGGCCTAAAACAATAGGACTGCGACCTACACACACCTTTGTATAAACGTCGACCAAATACTTAAATATTTGTGTATGTATTAAACTTCGTATTTCTCTTTTGATTCACCAAAATATGCATACATACATACATACATGCAAATGTATGCTTTTATATATGTATGTCATTAACAGTATTTGGACAGTTCTATTGTTTCATTGTGTCTTCATATATGAACTATACATGCATACCTAGCAACCTTCAGGCATTAAAATTATTATTTTGCACTGTCAAAACAGAAATATTGTCTGCATGTATTACGTGTTAAATATGTGTACTTACATATGTATATCGAATTCAGTTTATATATGTACATACATAGGTGTTTATATACTTCAGACGATTTGTGTTTTGCAATAATAGTGGTTTCTTTTGTCGATCCGCAGTTGCAAACTTTGATTACACATGTATGACAACAAAACAAATTAATAAATATATATCGACTAATGATAAAAAAAATAGCAATTGGATTTCAACAACGAGCATATCAGAAAATTAGCAGCATAATTCATTATATCAGACTGTTTTGATTTTGTTTTGCACTGAATGCATGTAGTTGCAATTGTGAATTCCTAAATTTGCTAAAATGTTAACAAGGTGTCAATCCATTTGAAACAGTTATAATAAACAATGTGTGTTATGGAATACAATCTATTCATGCAGAAGCAACTTTAAACAGTTGCTTTACAGTGATGTTAACAGAAATGTTATAGTACGCATATGAAATTGGTGAAGTGCTGATTAGCATTATTTTTTAATTCAAGCAAATTTGTATATTTTACGGAATTGGCTAAAAGGGTTATTAATTAATAAATGTGAAACTTATAAATGCCGAGTTTGGTCAAGATATCAGAAAAACGACAATACAACAACTTAAGATTGGACCGATCGTTCCTATGGCAGCTATATGATTTAGTGGTCCGATTCTGTTTTACACTAGAAGCATAGTAAAACTAATATTTTCCGAGTGTGGTCAAGATATCTTGATCAATAAAAAAGTTGTTTATACTCTTGTACCTACACCGATTGTTCCTATGGAAGTTATATGATATAGTGGTCCGATCCATATGTATTGCGTGCAACAGAAAGAGGGACTCCTGCAAAGTTTCATGACGATAGCTTTAAAACTTAGAGACTAGTTCGCATAGAAACAGACAAACCGACTTGGCTATATCGACACGGTTGTTGATACTGATCAAGAATATATATATTATTTATGGCTTTGGAGATGTCTCCCTCTATTCCCCTCTAATACCCTTTGCAAGAGTTTAAAAATACTGTCATTCATTTTATGTGGATCAGGTCCCGTATCGCTTTCATTTTTCTTCGGGTCCAAAACTCGCTTGCCTGCTCAGAGAGCAAGAGAGATTTTACCATCTTAACTTACATTCAAACGGGTAAAGAGGCTGTAATGCATGCCTTTGGGCAAGTATGTGACATACACTTCTCCGACCTTATAAAGCATATATATTTTACCCATCAACTGCCGAGTTAATTGAGCTATGTGTGTTTAACTGTCAGTAGACATTACACATCTGGCTTATTTCATATAATCAATTACATTCCGCTTTTCCACAAAATCAAGAAGAATCGGATTTCTTATTTCGTCTTTTGTCAATATTATATATTTAAAAATTAATGACTAGCCATGATTTGGATTCAATCTAGGTTCTCAGGTTCACGAAACGATCTTAAAGGAAAGGAGTTGGTTAGAAAAAAACTTATTCAACGTGGTGGCTATAAAAGCATCAGGTGCACCTGGAGTGTCGCTTAAAACCATGAATAATGTATACAGCGTAGCAATTGCGTCTTCTTTTCGCGAATATGATATTAACGCATAAGGGAAAAAGTTACAAATAAAAGACCAGAAAAAAGAAAAGTCACGATTTTTGCTCCCATAAATTATTCCTACTCTTAAATAAATTACTGAGTCAGTTTGACATAAAGTTTCATCCACTGTTCTTTCTATTTGTCCAACTTTATATACTTAATTCTTATAAATAAAATTTCATTTTCAGCTACTATAAAACATCTGATTTTTAAAACGGATATCAGTATAAAGTGTATAACTATTTCCAACAAAATAATGAACGGCTTGGCCAATAGTAATGATGACTCCGTAGAGTGTCCATTGTGTATGGAACCCTTGGAAGTCGATGATCTGACTTTTTTTCCATGCACTTGTGGATACCAAGTAAGTCTTATTTAATTTATGATTATATGGCCTGTAAATGCCTATTTTTAATTACAGATTTGTCGATTTTGCTGGCACAGAATTCGTACCGACGAAAACAAACTATGCCCAGCATGTCGGAAAGAATATCCAGAAAATCCAGCTGATTTTAAACCCCTTACACAAGAAGAAGTAAGTAATGTTTCGTTGATGGGATATTATAACTTTATGTATATATTTGACGCATTACCACGTAATATACAGAATATAAGAAATCGTTTGATTAGAACTGCCATAAATATATCTATCGGATACTGATCATATTTAGAAGAAATGGTTCTCAAAGAACAATATCTAATACATATTTTGAAGTTTATTGACAGAACATTTAAATGTTTAATATGAAACTTTAGAATGGAAATAATTTTACTATCCACTTTTATAAATTTTAATGTCGATTTCTCTTTGCGGCTTAACGAACATGTTAAATTATAATAAATTAAATTATATACGCGATTAATTTTAACGAAGCTGGACTGATCAGATCGGTGGCGATTTTGTTGCTGATGTACTTATTGTTAGATTAGATTACAAGTTGCCAATACGCCACATGCAAATATTCTTTATCAGGCATGTGGATTTTAGTTGTGTTTACTTTTATAAACTCTCTCTATACAAATACCTATGGTGTCCTGGCACTTAGATTAGACTAATGTCAAACTGCTCAGTCCTTGTATTTGTGGAAGACTAATGGCTGACGATATTCAGTAGATATTTTAAGTGGAACTATTATCCATTATGAAGCGATTGCACGATTGAAAAATGCTGCGCAAAGAATAAATGAAAAAAGTACATATAAAAGTTTTTGGTTTATCATCCCAACGACTTCAAAATCATTAAGAATGCAGATCAAAATGGTTCGGGTAGATTACAATTATCCTCGGGCGAGAACTATGTTAAAGTTTTAGCACTACCGTGCACTACCAGCTACTTTATATGTTTATATATAGTGTAAAATGATTTTAAAAACATTAAATTAATTAAATATTTAATTTTACCTTGTCAGATGATTGCCTTTAAGTCCCAGAAGCGGCAGAGGGACCAACAGCGCAAACAAAAGATAACTGAAAATCGGAAACACTTAGCAAACGTTCGTGTGGTTCAAAAAAATTTGGTATTTGTTGTTGGCTTACCGCCGCGACTTGCAGACGCCGACGTAAGTATGAAACCAATTTTAAGAAATATGTATATTTGTTATTCCTTTATAGAGGGTAACGCGTTGAGGGAGTCAATTCTCAGCCATCAAGTAAAAAGCCAAAGCTTATCTTTTGAACATTAGAAAACGAACTTTGCACTTAAAAGGCGAACTACTTCATAATATATTTACCCAAAACCGAATCTAATTGGTCTACCATACAATATGGCCCCCTTTCGAACAAACGCTTACAAGGAAATTTAATTCTCGGCGTGCCGAGAGGATTACTATTTACCAACAAAATATTTTTAATATTTCCATATTATTCATTTTTTTCCTTTTGTAATAGATATTAAAAAAACACGAATATTTTGGAAAATACGGAAAAATTCATAAAGTGGTAATAAACCCAAGTACAACCTACGCTGGAGTACAGGTAAGCGCTACTGTCATTATACCCTAAACCCATTGAAAATGGGTATAATTTTTTGTGGAAATGTATGCATCAGGCAGTAGGAAGCATCTCCGATCCCATTAAGTATATATATTTTTCAGTATCTAGCTAAATCCGTCCGTCCCTTTGTATTAACGCAAGGATATCTAAATCTAAAAGAGCTATAGACGGATATTTTGATCGTAGGTCCTCTTAAAGCCCGCGCAGGGCGACTTTGTTTCCTATAATCGATAACAGGATCCGTATCGAACCAGTCGATACCAATCGATTTTGAAGCACAATTTTTTTTTCTAGAAAACCTCGCAGGGTTTAAGAACTAGTCAACAAATTTTACATGTAATTGCTTGAATAGTATATATAAATCAAGTATTTTTCATTTTATTTCGGTTGGTTATGGGTTCGAGTCCAATTAAGGAAATTTAGTTTTTCATTTAAGTTCATTTTATTACTCGTAAAGTAAGCGATCTCGTAGTTGGAGCTGCATTAAGTGTTTGTAGAAAAGGGTTCAGGGTATCCCCTACTTAGTTACTCCCGACAGAGCCCCTTACTTGTTTTATATAAAAATAATATTCCTAATCACCACAAAATCCATTTAAAGGGCCCCTCGGCGTCGGCATATGTCACTTACGTACATAATCCGGATGCACTGCGAGCTATACAAAGTGTAAATAATATAATGATAGATGGGCGGCTAATCAAAACCAGTCTCGGAACAACAAAATACTGCAGCCATTTCATGAAGAATCAACAATGTCCCAAAGGCGACTGTATGTACTTACATGAGTTGGGTGACCCGGAAGCTAGTTTTACCAAGGAGGTATATGGAATATACCAAATTTATAATGAGACATATTAATATTCAAGCGTTATAGGAAATGCATCAAGGAAAGCATCAAGATTATGAAAAACGACTACATGATGTGTTAATTGCAACTTCTGGGGTAAACAATGTGTCTGGAATTGGGGTATCTGCCAATGGTGCAAATGTAGGTGGAAGCGGATCTTCAAAAGCAAACGGTGAAACACTTTTTGTATTTTACAAATTACTAGACCAATAACAGCTTTTTCTGTTGCAGCTTCGGTAGCGATGTCGTCATCATCATCTTCGACATCTTCAGTATCAATTACAAATACTTCTACTTCAGCAAATTCACAGCAAAAAGAGTCGTGGCCGAGCTTGTCAGTTTCACCTATCAATAGCAAGGAAACTTTAGGAAGTGCCTCCAATGGGAATGGAAAAAGTAGAAAGGAAAAGTCTCGAAATGATAAAGGCCGTCATGAAAAAAACAAAACTAAAAGCAAAACAAATGCGTACGCCAATTCTAATACATCCAACAAGGAAAACTTTATTCCTGATTCCAGGAGTAATACACACACAACATCTATAACAACAGATTCAACAGAAGACCCAGTTGCCTCTTCAACGAAAATAGAATTAGGTTCTGCCAGCAACCGACCAAAAACAGAGCGTAACAAGGAAAAGGGTTCTTCAAACCGTGCCTCTCTTGCAAAAGAGCAAAGCGAAAGTAAGGAAACAGTTCAAAACACTTCGGCTGAAGTCGAAAGGCAGTTGAAAAATCCTGATGATGGTCCCAATACAAGCAAAGATATGGGCACGATCAAGCTCAAGGAAAGTACCAAAAAGTTTTCATTACCACACAGGTCGGCATCTAATGTACATCGCTCACTTAGCACTAGCAGTGAAAACAGTGATGATCACTTATCCGAAAGCAGTACAAGTGAAAAGAGTTCGCCTGCAAATTTGAAGACGCAATCCAATGGTTCAACTGAGGATGTACACAAAGATATTGAGATCGATAGAAATATCGAATTGGAAAGTGGATCGGATGATGTTTTGTCAACAACAAAAACAGTTAACTTTCATAAAATGTGTGATTCCAAAGTTAAAAACAGAGACGAAAAAAGTCCAGATGGTACGGAAATATTAAATATTGGTGAAACTGACAGCACAAAGGATGTATCGGGTATGTTGTAATTAATTTCGCATTTGTTTTATCAATCTATGTATAATGCCAGCTGACCAATATGATGTTTGACTTTACCTTTGTAGGCAATTATAAGGGCAGTATACAATTTATTAAAAATTAAATCAGCCTAGGTTAAGTTTGTTTATTAAAATTGAAAAACTAATTTATATTACACATTTGATGTTTCAGATGCTCTGTTCAAATTAAACATGTTTGATGACAGCAACAGCTTCTTCTCATCGTCTCCCACATTGCAGCAGTCACTACTTTTAAGAAACAAAGTAGACGGGGATGTAAGGCAGCCTCAAGTAAACAGCGTAACAAATTCACATTTGCCAGATTTGCTTAATGGTAATATGCTTAGAATATATTTCTTATTAATATTAAGTATCTTTCATCTACACTGATTTAAAAATTCAATTACTTGCAATTATTTAAATAACCCTTTTGATCTTTCTATATCATACTTGATCGATGACAATCATCATGGCCGCGTGGACAAATCAGGAATTGATGGATACCAGAATCCAGCGAACGCAAATGGTAAATATGTTTTGTTTTTTTCACAATATCCATTTCAAAAATTATATAATATAATTTGATTGCAAGCCTCTTCTAACTTTTTGTTGGTTTGCAAGTCTCAAAATAACATTCAGGGCTGCCGAACTTCTGCAGATTGTAAAACCTGTTTTGGCAAATGAATCAGCTGTTTTTATACCCTGAACTCATTAAAAATGGGTAAAAAGGGTAGAATGTATTTGTGCAAATTCATCTAATAGGCATCTTCTTCTTACTCAAAGTATATATATTCTTCAGCATTAATAGTCGAGTCGATCTAGCCATGTCCATCGTCTGTCCGCATGAATGAACGCAAGAATCTTAGAACCTATAAAAGCTGGAGGCTTGCAATTTGGAGCGTGGGTCCTCCTACTATATGTTATTTTTCGATAATCGACATATTGCCCCGTTTCCAAAAAATCGAAAGTATGGTTTAAGAGCTGGATCTCTTAAAATTTACAATTTACTGTTAAAAGTTTCATCACGATCGAGTAAGAAACACAGAAGTTATTTAGGAAATTGTGATGTATTTAATTTGTTAATAATGTAAATATGTTATGTTCTGTAGTAAGCTCAGAAAATGATGTGCGGGGAAAATATAAATATATTGGATGAAAGAAAATAACCTAGACCTCGAGCCGATTTAGCCGTCAACTAAATAAATATTTGTTATGCCTAGTTTAAAGCAAAGTTTAAACAAAAATATTGCAATTTTTTCCAGAATGGGAGGAAGCCTTTAAGAATGTAATGTTGCGCAACAACCGGCAAGTAGAAGAGCAAGTTCTGCATCAGCAGCATCTACAAATGCAACAACAACATCATCATCAACAAGTACTAAAACAGCAGGAAGAATTTCTTCGCATTCACGAATTACATAAAAGGAGCAATTTAGCAAATAATGCTGGAATTTCTCATACCACTCACAATGGTAGGTTTTATTGGCGTAGTACAAGAATTAAGGAGTCACAATCTTAAAGAAGTTTAAGAAGCTTTTAAAGCAAATGTAATGGTTATTTAGTTTCTTATTTTGTTGCTTTTGTAATAATTAGAAGCGGGTAAGGGCATTATTTTGGCAGGCGAAAAACTCGCATCGTAAATTTATTTTGATCGATAAGTTTAAAATTGCACGATATATCGATATCGATTAAAATGATTATCTTGTTTTTGGTATGGTTTGGGAGAGTAAAATATTGTTATGAATCTCTAACTTTCGTAGATTCCAAGTAACAGTCGGACATTGCTAAATCGACTAAGCTCGGCGTGCTGATCATGCCTGCTACATACGTTTGCATAAAATATTTATATCAATAGAGTTTAAAAAGTGATATTTTTAAAATCCCGATTTGTGCATGAGTTAATTGGGGTTATCTCTGGTTATTGAAAGGAATCCAAAAATGAATATATATCAATTAAAAAATAATAGAAGTATATTTTATTTATATATAAACCTCTTTTGTTTTATAGATTTTCCAAGCCATTATTATAGTGCTGATAATGAGGCGAATAGAACCCAAATTCATGCAGCAGTGCATCCACAGCACATCGTACAGCAACCCGATGAAAATCCTAACTATGTAAATAATATATTCGGCGGAAATATGTCAAAGTTTTTCGACTTTCACAAAAGTCAACAACAAATACACCAACAGTACATCAATGGACAATCTCTGCTGAGTAATTCCGATTCTCATCGATTGGCTATATTTTTGGAGAATAACCGTGCTAACCCTGCAGTTTTTGACAATGGTAATTAGAATTTCGGTTAATTTCGACAAATAAGAAAAACATTTTTTAATGTCAGGCATTTTGGCCCAACAATCGCTGATGCAGAAACAAAGGCTTATGGGAAATTTCGATAAAACAGTAAGTTTACAAGTTTGATATATATCGGAGTTTCTATAAAACTACAATTTTTGTTTTTCAGTCTTCAAACCAACCACAAAACTTACATTCGCCACAAAATCGGTTTTCACAAAGCTCTTTAGCGGACGATGACCTAGGTAATATTTGAATTATTTATTAAATTAAGAAACAATCACTGGCTCAAGTTCAAAATAGGGCATCTCATTCAATAACTATGTATAACATATATATGACGATGATGATTATGCATTATGTCTGCGTTAATGAGCTACTAATATTAGTTAGTACTACTAGTTAATATTATTTATGGGTTACTAAACATAATATATATCTTTTATCATATTAGGATTCGACCCGTTTATTGAAACACAAAAGGGATTAGCAGAGCTAATGGAAAATGAAGTTGTTCAACAGAATATTAATGGAATTGCTGGACCAAAATTACAGCAGCAAGCACAAGCTTCCCATCAGCAACTTCTTGATAATATGCAGCGCGCCCGAATGCCTCCTCCTGGTTTTAATCATATGAATACCTTAGGATTTGAAGGTGCAGCACGAGTACACTCGAGTAAACTTTTTCCTTTTATTAATATGCCAAGCAACTCGGTTGGAAACAACGCTACCCAAGGAGAACAACAACATCAAATCCAACTGGCAACTAACTGGAACAATCATTTGGCAACATTGCATCAACATCAAGGACAGCCTATGAGTGACTCCCATTTGCAGCATCAAGTCGCCCAAACTAGCATCCAAAATAAAGGTAATCATATATTAATAAAATATCACTATATTGATAAAAATAGATTAGACCCTTTTAAAGTGATAATTTGCGGACGCGCTCATTACTGCAAAAATCGATATTTCACCATTGTGTTTTCACCATTTTTTTTTTACAATTCATTAAATAAATAATAATAAATATTACTATTATCATTATTTATGCTAGTCTAAAATGGTCTTTGAATGTTTGAGTAAAAAAATCTTTAAAATGTACTTTACAAATAGGATATAGTAGCAATGACTGGACTGCAATGGATCCAGCTATTTTGTCTTTTCGGCAGTATTCATCTTTTCCGCATCAAGCTCAAATGCCACCTCATCAACAACAACAACAACAAGACCTATTTATGCAACATTTGGCTCAAAATCACCAGCAAAACGGACAAGGTAAAAATTGGAATATATTTTGTACTATATATATTTAAGGCTTTAACTAATATATTTTGTTTTGGATAGGTTTCGGTAATCAATCCCAACAAGTGCTTCCGGGTATGAACGTGCCTAATAATATGATCAATGGACAGTCGTCATCTCAGACACAGGTAAACGCAAATGTTCAGGGAATGCTGGAGTTCTTAAAAAACCGCCAATTTGTTTAAAAATTAATGTCTGAATATTATAGATTGGTTTACCTGTACTACTTATAAAATACTTATTGTAATACAAACATAGTGAAAAAATCGAATATAACAAATCGAAAAGCTTTTGGTTTTTTTACTCTAAAATCTGGGTAGACGGATATATATATGCATTGCAATTATATAAAAAACATATAAATATAAGCGTATATTCGCGACATTTTGTTCCGACTGGAGGTCCTGCAGACGCAATATCAATAGAAGGTATGGGGTAAATGTGCGGCATTCCAGGGTCAACAGACCGGCTCAGGCGCTACCAGACATATCACGCGCATAATATACAAAGCTGCTGCAACAGCCATGTGACAACAAAAGTGAAAGTCATATTCACCACATGCGTCAACTCGCTTTACTATTCCAGTAGCCGCTGAGAGACCGGGAACTGGTTAAAATAATGTAGTGGAGTTTGAATGGATGAGCTGCGCCAAGAGTGCATAGAGGGTGAGAGGAATATGGGTCGCAGGGACAGAGGTGGACATGCACAGAAGTCACGCTATCCGCAAGGAGCGAAGGCAATCAATTTGATCAGGACTGTTTGTTATAGGTGCGGGAAACTGAAAATTCTGTGCCCACAGTGGGAAAACTGTCCGGGAAACTCCAGAGGAAGCGCGATGATAGCTGAACAGGCGCGTTCAATGCCGGCGCCCAAGGGAAAAGCAGGAAAGGAACAATAAGGATAAGAACTAAGATACGGATGAGGAAATTGTTTAAGAAACAATCTTAAGAGGCTTACCATGTGACGAACGTGTTCGGACATTCACGTCGGGCCGAAATAGAATTTTTGGTGAGCGCCAGCTAAAAGGAATGACTCTGGTCATCCGACAAGTGGAATCGGGTTGGGTGGGTGAATCTCTATGGAAAGCCAAGGCCGCGTCGATGACGCAATATGGGGAAGTGAGCTGGATATCTGGGAGTTGTCTAGGGAGGAAAGTATAGAGTTGGAGGCAGACATGCGGGAGTCTTAGTTCTTTGATCATAGTGGAAAACAAACAATCGACTTGGTAGAAGGGGCCCAACCGTTCAAAAATCGACCGTACCCTTTATTGCCAGCGATGTGATTAATGTTGAGCTTGGGAATAATAGAAGAGTGCAATAACTCATGGAATATTCGCGATTTTTTTAAAATTAGGCGCCATATTGTGACGGGCGCGCTTAGTTCCCTCTGGGCCGCGCCTTCTGGCCCATCGGTTCTCAGGGGCAGTCCCATCCCTGGTCCGCAGTCCGCTTAGTCAACGTCGATACTGATACACTAAATATCTGTAGAAAACGGTCTTCAACAACACCACAGCACTAAGTCTAAGGAAGAGGGCTTCTCGGCACGGTCATACTCAATTTTTTGTTGTTTTGCATATTCTGTCCGCAACTCCTCGCCTCCTACTGCTTTATCCCGCCTCGCTGCAGATGCCGGAAAATGCCGTAGTCCAATCTGCTCCCATCAGAGTCAAGACTCGTGGCGAACTTGCCTGCTTATTTCTTTGGTTGATTTTAATTTGTCAAATTTAGCTTTTATTTTATAAATTGCAATTTTGGGATTTTTTTATTTTTTCTTGGTGTAATAAATTTGTTAAAGTTTTCTAACCCGATGATTTTTACAAAGTTCTCGGCTTGGCCCCATTAATTTTATAAGGTCTTATCTTCCGGGTCGGCACAATTAATTTTATGAAACTTGAGTTTTTCAAGTCAAATAGTCTTTTGATTTGACCGCAATCAAAATCGAACTCTCCGTTGCGCATCGGGCAGAAACGTTATCGTTGCTGAATAACCAACAGCCGATGCTATTAATATAGGTTTCTTATTCACTTTCATTACTTTGGATGTGGTTGCTTAGATGCTAATGGAAATGGAACAGAAAAATAGAAACAGTATGTCAACGAAACAAAATATCGGTGAAGTGTTATCGATTGTTTGTCATTTGACATATTTGTAGTGTGACTGATTCAATGAGCTCCTCTCTATGCAAATTATTACAATGCGATATTTTTCATCTCGACCTCAGCTCAAAATCTTTGTTCGTGCATTATATCTTGGAACGGCAAGTAAAAGTATGTTTAAGACACAGCATTTAGAAGTATTTTACATATAAGAACATCTAATTATGTTTTCATTCCGCTTTTTTACATAGATAAGCCAATTGTAAAAAATATCGGAATGTCAGGTGTACCTCAAAAGTCCTCAGAATCAATGAAAGGAAATTTCGTATATCCCGTTGCCCGTAAGGACTTATCTATTGAAGATAACTTCCATGGCTCAAAGATAAAGGATGTTTACCGTTGGCTCGAGGATCCGGACGCCCCCGAAACACAAGAATATGTTAATAATCAAAATAATATAAGCCAACCGTTCCTCGAAAGTTGTGAACTATGGAAAAAGATAAATAATAAGCTTACAAAACTATGGAACTATCCGAAATATGGATGCCCCATGCAGTATGGAAAGTATTATTATTATTTTATGAATACTGGTCTTCAAAATCAAAGGTAACCTAACGCCTCGTCATATTTGTATACGTTCATATGTACATCTTGTATAATTGCAGTGTAATGTATCAGCAAGATTCACTGCATGGCGAGAGCAAAGTATTCCTAGACCCTAACAGTCTGTCTGAGGATGGAACGGTTGCCCTTTCGCAAAAGGAGTTTTCCGACGATGGTAAATTTATGGCTTATGGACTGAGTGAAAGTGGATCTGATTGGATTAAGATTCGCATACGTAACACTGAGACTGGTAAGGATTTCGATGAAGTGCTTGAAAAAGTAAAATTTTCGGAAATTTCATGGACAAAGGACAATAAGGGATTCTTTTACGGAGTACGTAGACAAGGTCTGCACAACTAAACTGATTAATAACAACGCCTTAATTCAACAGAGATATCCTGATCAGGATGGTAAAACTGATGGTTCGGAAACCAAACAAAATGAAAACCAAAAACTTTATTATCATCTCGTCGGAGAAAGTCAGTCTAAGGATGTATTAGTCGTTCAGTTTAATGAGGAACCGTCATGGCGCTTGTATGGATCTGTATATTACAGTTTTATTTTGTGAAATTAGTTGAACACCAATCCAATTTTCTCTTATTCCTATTTAGTCAATCTGTTGTATCCGATTGCGGCAAATATTTGATACTGGCTATTGTTAAAGACTGTCGTGATAATATAATATACTATGCCGACCTTAAACCCGGGGAACCAATCGTATCGGAACTGGATGTTAAAATCATTGTTGATAAATTTGAGTCCGACTACGACGTAAGTACATGCATTGATATATTGGATATGTTGTATTAGAATGTGTCGTATAATTATTCTTATTTGTTGTAGTATCAACCTTTCACCTTTACCTTTACCTTTTTTGTTTTTGCAGTACGTAACTAATGTGGGTTCAAAAGTGTATTTTCGCACAAACAAGAATGCTCCAAATTATCGTGTCATAATCATCGACTTTGAAAACCCAGCCGAAGAAAATTGGGAGACCCTCATACCGGTGAGAACAATAACTGTCCGCATAAAAATATATATAAAATATATAACTCATTTTCAAGGAGCACGAAAAAGATGTTTTGGACTGGGTTAAATGCGTCAATGAAGATAAGCTTCTTCTTTGTTATATAAGAGATGTTAAAGTAAGGCAACTTTTATTATTTACCCCACATATCGTTGGTTCAAGGTTTTGTTTATTTTAGACGATTTTGCAAGCTAATTCACTTCAAACCGGAACACTAATACGACAATTTGATTTGGATATTGGTACCATTGTTGGAACCTCTGGCAAAACAAAATATTCCGAAATTTTTTACAATTTCGCTTCATTCCTAAATCCCGGAACAATTTACCACTATGATTTTAAATATCCAGACCAGCCACCAAAAGTCTTTCGAGAAATTAAGCTCAATTTGGACGGATTTCGACAGGATAATTATGCCGTTGAGCAAATCTTTTATTCTAGCAAAGATGGTACCAAGGTGCCAATGTTTATAATACAGAAGAAACGAGCTGCCCGTGAGCCCCGACCATGCCTGCTTTACGGCTATGGTGGATTTAATATTAGCATGCTGCCCACTTTTGGACTTACAGGGTGAGTATATATATACATATATGGTTTTTAGAAACTTTAGGCACAACCGAAAAACAATAGTCTTATGTTTGTAGATACTTTTGATGGCGTTCTGGCCTATCCTAACATTCGTGGTGGTGGGGAGTACGGCGAAAAGTGGCACAATGGCGGACGCTTGCTGAATAAACAAAACGTCTTCGACGACTTTCAATGTGCTGCAGAGTATTTAATTGAAAACAAATTTACCACAAAAGACCGTTTGGCAATACAGGGAGGATCGAATGGCGGTCTCCTGGTTGGCGCATGCATCAATCAACGTCCTGATTTGTTTGGAGCAGCCATTGCACAAGTTGGGTTAGTATTCTTTGCTTAAGAATATTGGAATAATTGTATTTGAAAACGAATGAATGTATTGCCAACAGCGTAATGGATATGTTGCGGTTCCATAAATTCACGATTGGTCACGCTTGGTGCTCGGACTATGGCAATCCCTCGGACAAGGAACACTTTGATAATCTTTATAAGTTTTCCCCATTACACAATATCCATTCACCACAAAGTGCATCGAAAGAGTATCCATCCACACTGATTTTGACCGCTGATCACGACGATCGCGTCAGTCCACTGCATTCATTAAAGTTTGCAGCTGCATTGCAGGATGCTGTGCGTAATTCAGAATTTCAGAAAAATCCGTTGCTACTTCGTGTATACAAAAAAGCTGGTCACGGTGCTGGAAAACCAACATCTAAAAGAATTGAAGAAGCTACAGATATTCTAACATTTATGTATAAAAGTCTTAAAATGGATGTCATCAATCTATAATTTGTAAATATATAGATAACTATTGTATTTATCTTGCCTTTTCAATTTGTTTAAAAAGCTTGCATTTACCGTGTATATTACAGAAAACATAAAAGTAAAGTCCTTTTGTAACTGACTTGTATTAATATTCTTTTTTGTTCTATTGGTGATAAGCTAAAAAATGATTTTAAGTCAACTTAGGCAAAACAAATATCCATGCGAGATGTAAATGAAGAGTGCTCTTAACTGGGATTACTCAGTTATAAATAAAAACCAGCTTGGTCAGAAAACATCGAATACTGAAATTTATCTTGTGATAATGTAGCTGGGCAAATCGATAAAAGGGGTTACACAACATTCACTAGGGAAAGCCAACTCTCAAGGCGCCAGAAATAAAATTAGCACAGAGCATATTTCGAAGCTCTGACATGAGGCAAGGTAAACGAGAAAGTAAGAGTACCAATACCAAATCTTGCTAGCTCTTAAAGCTAGCTTTATAGCTCCTACAGATGCGCGGAATGTGCGTTTTATTATATAGAGTATAGAATGCTGATTGTTCCCATAGGAGAGATATACGCTAGATTCTTATTATATGTATGTTATATTATATATTATATTATATGTTATTTGCCAAAGCTAGTAAGTGCATAAAACGTTGTTTTGTTGCAAAACAAGTCGTGTTCTCTTAATATAACTAATGTAAAGTTGTGTGAGACCTTTGAAGCTCGACCGAATTGGACTGAGTAGTTGAAATATTTGTAAGTCCTTGGCCAGTTGCTATTATTGTCTCCATTCGCTGGGTAGTGTCGCGCATGACTCCACTAAAGTCGGGCAAATCTGGAAGCTCTAATGCGAGATGCGCTGAAAATCGTTTATAAACCGAGTTTTTGATGCTTTCCTTCTTTGTTTTTTTTCTACTTTCCTCATATTTTAGTTGTTGTTTGAGAAAAATGGAAGTCTTTAGAATTTCTTGTATATTATAGAAAGTATTTTCAGATTTTTCTATCGATTTGAGTGCTTGAACACCATATTCCATATCGAAGCAATGTCCTTGTAAGTTGCTTTGCAAGCCGAGAACTTCGGCTCGTTTCTCTATAATAGCAGGCAGAACCTTACGAATATGTTCCTTGAATACATATTGAATAAATTAATATTTGATTTGTTTTCTATTAAGAAAATTAGGAAGACAAACCTGAATTCGAAAGAAAGCTAATGATGGGTCATTGGCGAATATATGCACATTTTCAGACAGTTTCTCTGAGGCTAAAAAGTCGAAAACACACAAAGAATATATGTGATGGTATTGGTATTTAAATAAATCAAATTACTTTTTTTTGCCTTGAAGTTGAGATCACTTCCTTGTTCCATTCTTTTCTGTTTTCGCATTCGTATAAGAATGAAAATTTTCGCCCTAATAATTTCCCATAAAGTGATTCAACTGAAAATAAACCTAAATGCTTATGTTCAGAATGAGCCTTTCTTTCACTGTTTTTGTTAACAATTTAGGTATTTTCAGGATCAGTATCAAGTAGCTTTAAAGCTACCGTTACGACACTTTTTATAGGTCCATCTAAGCATTACTTATTTGACAGTCCACTTAAAAATGACCAAAATAACACAAAGCTAAACAGCTTGTTCCAAATAAATTTTGTCAATACATAATAGAGATGGGCGATATATACCCAACTCGATACGTTTAAAATATATTAATATGTTAAGTAAGGAGTCTCAAGGGATATCGATACTAAGAGTCGGGATATCGATAAGGGCTCTCAGTTACCATAGGATGCAGCAAAAATTTCCACTGCGTTCAACAAAAAAAATATTAAAATGTTAAAGTTTCCGCCACCCCACTCAAAAAAAAAGTTAAATATTTATTAAAAATATCCATTTATAAAATTGTTCGGCCTGACTGACTGATTGGTGGTCAACACCCAGACCATACCGTAATAGCTAGAAAGCTGAAACGAAATATTTATATACTCGTTTTTTGCTAATTAACCACTTTTGTGGCTGGAAATAATCAAATTGCTTAAAAACTTAAAACTTCATCAAAATGAAATTTGTAGATATCATTTAGTACCCAGAAAGCTTGGATTTTATGAAAAGTGTGAAACACATCTCAAATGATTTTTTATATAGATCCTTGAATGAATTTAAGCTCGAATCGAGCCCACCGAATCTTTGATTTACATATCCACCAAGGAGGTATTCGTAAATTTTTTATTTTGTAAATATTGTTTCAACTGGAATTTATATCGCCTAAGATTATATATTTCTGTTTCTTTTCACTGTACCAAAAGAAAATGTTTGTGTGATTATTTTAGAGTTAAAAATCATTCGATAAAAATTTATAAGCAACCTTGTTTTTAAAGTTTTTCACTTCCTGTCCGCACCACGTTTGTCGGGTTCTTTCTTATCGTACGTTTGCCAGACTAAGGTGGGTAAATTTTTCGAAAATTTGTTTTATGGTTTTAATATTAAGTGATTGCAATATTTTTATGAAGAAAGAGAAAACAATTATTAGAATCTAGCTTAAAATGAAATATTTACTTACGAATCATCAAGTAAATGTAAACGTTTATATAAATTACACGGATGAAAAAACGTGCATTTATAGTCATGCACATTGTGCATGACCATAATTTGTTATGAATGCACATGTAATATTGCGAGCGGGTAAAGTGCTAAAGAAACTATTTTTGCCATGTACATATGATGTACATACGCATGTGAATTCTTCAAATGATTGTTGATATTTTTATATAAATTGTGATTAATCAAGGTAAGTAAGGTATGGACAATATGTCACTTGTGGATTATCAAAAATACATATGTGCGCGTATGTAATGCATAACACATATGTATGTAGTTGCATATATGATCTAAGATCTTCATCGGAGAATTCACAGTGCCATATTTTCCCGATTGTATTAACTTAATAATACATTTTGCGTTGCAGGTCGGCGCAAGGAACGTACAACAAAAATGCCGCAAAATGAGTATATGGATCGCCATCGAAAGTTGTTCGGTCGGCGGCTCGACTATGAAGAACGCAAGCGCAAGAAGGAAGCGCGACTTCCGAAGGAGCGTGCCCGTAAAGCGCAGAAATTGCGTGGCATTAAAGCGAAATTGTTTAACAAGGAGCGCCGTAATGAGAAGATACAAATAAAGAAAAAGATCCAAGCGCACGAAGAGAAGAAGGTCAAAAAACAAGAAGAAAAGGTTGAGGATGGAGCCCTACCGCATTATCTGCTTGACAGAGGCATCCAGTCAACGGCAAAGGTTCTATCGAATATGATAAAGCAAAAACGTAAAGAGAAGGCTGGCAAATGGGATGTGCCTATACCAAAAGTGCGTGCTCAATCCGATGCCGAAGTGTTTAAGGTTCTGAAGACCGGAAAGACCAAACGGAAGGCCTGGAAGCGCATGGTAACAAAAGTCACTTTTGTTGGCGAGAACTTCACGCGAAAACCGCCGAAATTTGAGCGATTCATTCGGCCGATGGCATTGCGCATGAAGAAGGCGCATGTTACACATCCAGAATTAAAAGCAACTTTCCATTTACCCATAATTGGTGTTAAAAAGAATCCCAGCTCCCCAATGTTCACCTCTTTGGGTGTGATCACCAAGGGCACGGTTATAGAAGTAAATATCTCCGAATTGGGTTTGGTAACGCAAACTGGCAAAGTTGTTTGGGGTAAATATGCGCAAGTTACAAACAATCCCGAAAACGATGGAGTTGTGAATGCCGTATTACTTGTATGATTATATGTAAGATTACTATTATTTGTATCTTGGTTCATTTAATAAAAATATATAATAAAAATAATACAAAAAAGACTGTCCTTTATATATATATCTATATATTTAGCTAGTTTATTATTAAGGCCTATCATTAGTTTTTATTTGATTTATTTTTGCGATATTAACCGAGTTTCTTTTTCAGTTGGCCCCGGGAGTGTACGATGCAAATTTTTGTAAAAACCCTCACGGGTAAGACCATCACTCTTGAGGTCGAACCGTCGGATACCATCGAGAATGTTAAAGCCAAGATCCAGGACAAAGAAGGAATTCCTCCAGATCAGCAGCGTTTGATTTTCGCTGGCAAGCAGCTGGAAGATGGTCGCACCCTTTCTGACTACAATATCCAGAAAGAGTCCACTTTGCATTTGGTGCTCCGCCTGCGTGGTGGCGCCAAGAAACGCAAGAAGAAGAACTACTCGACTCCCAAGAAAATTAAGCACAAGAGGAAGAAGGTCAAGCTAGCTGTCTTGAAATACTACAAGGTATATCTTCAATAATGAAACACAGATTAACGATTCGATCTGTTCTTGGAATTCTTGAGTCTTGGTCTTGAGCTTGAGGTTCTTAAGTGCTTGTTCTATCCAGCATAACTATATTTTTTCACCAAGTAAAAGGAGTAAATAGCTTTTGTTTCATGTTAGCTGACGCTGCCATTAAGCTAGCATTATTTATTTGTGGATGCGAAACATTTTGTTGTCCACGCTAAATACGAAGGTTTAAAGCTGTTCGCTTAATTTGTTAGGTAGATTTGTAAGATACAATTTATGTGCTATTTCGAAAGGTAGGTGTGTTACGACCCAACCTGTTGAAATAGACATTTCCCAGTAAGTTTGAATGGCATCCCGCCCAATAATCGGAGACTCTTGCATTGGAAATATTGGAGTATTACACGGTCAACACTAAAACTCTTGTTTTGTATTGCAGGTTGACGAGAACGGTAAGATCCATCGTTTGAGACGCGAGTGCCCTGGCGAGAACTGTGGTGCTGGTGTCTTCATGGCTGCTCACGAGGATCGTCATTACTGTGGCAAATGTAACTTGACTTTTGTGTTTAGTAAGCCAGAAGAAAAGTAAGTGCCGGCGCTTTAGATCAGGCAATTATTTCTACTGTAATTAAATGAAATAAATATGAACTAAAACAAGCCTGAAACCTTGTGTTGCGATTTTAAACTTATTTCTCCGCTTGCATTGAAATTCATTGGGCGTGGCTACCAGGTCTATGTTCGATGCGATAATCAGGATGTTCCAATTCAAGTGACCAACGAGCAATCTGTGGATTAATGGATTTTCGGCTAAGCGTCTGTACCATAGAATTACAGTCCTAATGATAAAGCTATCGCCGTCGATTTGGCGGAGGTGCAAAAACAGCAGCGGATTCTACTGATTTGTGCTCCAACACTGAAAACAGGCTGCGTCTGGCCGCTGGCCAAGCAGCCTTAGCTTGCATTCGGTCGTTCTCTGTCCTAGTTGAAACAACTGATCTTTGCGAACTGGTTGACTATATGCTGCCTTTCGCTTGGGCTCGCTACTTGACACGCACATCAGTTCTGCCTACCAGTTTTTGCGGCTTCTGAGGAATCTGGTCGAAACTGAGCAGCTCAGCAGCTCGCGCAACTCATCCAGTGAAGTACAATATAGCATACATACAGCTGCTCCCTTCCTGACCTGCAACCCGTTGACATAGTCGCGCATAATCAAGTCCGCTTGCACGCTTGTAACTCCTCCTTTAGATCATTCTAGTTTAAAATCCCGGCGTTAAATGTAGAATTGTGCTCACCCAAGTCCTGTAGAACTAATTCTTCGATATCGTCCATGTTGAGTACAACTCTCTACCATAGCAGATCGGAGACCAAAATGATATTGGAGCACTTTTAACTACCGGCAATTGATGTCAGCATCACGGAGATCGCAAACAAAATATTGGGCGCACTTCAATATTTAAATGTAAATGAAAATATTACATGTTCTTGTTTCTTTTCTAATATATTAAAATGCTCATATGTTTTTAATTTGAAATTGTTTTACAATTATGTTTATACATTGGACAGCAGTTTCTTGATTTCGTCATTTTCTGCTACTGCGGCATAACTCTCACCATTTGGAGTGGATCCATTTTTATCTGCACCCTATAAAATAAATGTAATATGTTTTTAGATTTCCATAGATTCCGTTATCAAGCATACTTTTTCCAATAGATACTCCACGCATTTTGTATGTCCTTCCCACACGGCCGCCAAAAGTGGAGTGATTCCATGTTTGTCTTTTCTCTGTCCAAAATACAGATACAGATCTTTAATAATACTCTAATCGATATTATTGGCCTAATCCTTCCGTGCTTTAGTACCTTGCACACACCATATCACTTGCATCTGTTCCTCAGACAATATATATGGTTTCACAACTCTTATTCCACCCTTAATCTACCGAAACTTGGTAAAAAGATGCAGTGAGATATATTCTCATAGAACGAAAACTACAAGCTGAGCTTATTTCTTTGAATCTTAGTGTCAAAAGAGTTAATATGTTCCCTGTCTTGGTCGGGCTTTCCTGATTAGAGCATTCTTATAAGATAATAATATAAGATGTAGTCGAAAATGGGAAAAAGCGTATAGTAGTCCACATTCGTCGGGTCCTTCCCAACATCATTCAACCCGCTCACCAAGAAAATAGGAAACTCCATTAGAGATTTAAACTTGGGCTTTGGTAATTTCACACATTTGGGTGGCATAAGCCAATTACGAATTCATTTTTTTCTCATAAGGGAGCGAGGATGCAGCGCATCCGTAGCGTAAGCAGCGCAGTAAGCGTCGTGCTTTTGCAAAAGCTCGTCCTTTTCATAATGAAATACCGTTTTCAGCTTTTTTACACTTTACCAATACGCAGACATTTTTTGTATACAAAATAAAATACCGGTTCACGGCAAACACTCATCAACACATACATACGCACGTATATGTATGTATGAATGTATATGTGTAGCCACTTAAATTTCGTTGTGAAAAGCGTAAGTTTTTCTTTGCAATTGAAGCTTGTAAACAATTGAAAACTTCAAAAACTATTGTTGATTTATGAGGATCTTCCAGTAAATTAACGATATGTACATACATTTACAGCAAGCCGATATGCTCAGAAATATGAACAGAAATTATTAATGCTTACATTTACATCGGCTCCCAAATTAATAAGATATTTCAGAACATTTAGCTGGCCGAAATCAGCAGCATAATGTATTGGAAATCTCCCTTTGATCTCTGTGTTAACTTTCTGCGTCTGTAAATAATATTATTTTGTTGAGCAACAAAATTAATTTAGATGTATATAGTTTAACGCACATCGTTGCTAAACGTTGTTTGAACGGCATCTAATTCTCCATTTTTAATGGTCCAGATTATGTTTTCATTGTTTTCCTCGCTCATGTTTTGTGTATATAATTTAAAATTATAAATTGTTATTGCTAATCACTAAAATAAAGGTGGTAGGGATGGACGATGTTTACTCAACCTTTCACAAGTTACCATTATTAAAAGTAACTAGTTACTCTCGTAATTTATTTCAAAAGTAACAGCTGCAAGACAAGACAAAACCAGTTCAGATTTTTTAACGAGATCTGGCTTTTTTGAATGTCTGATTGCTGGAAAAAATAAAAACAGCGGGCAGCGTGAATTCTGGCTAATTCTAAAACACTAAGTTGGCATATTAAATTAAAAAAATTTAAAGGCATGGTTGTGTATACAAAAAAAAAAAAAAAAAAAAAAAAAAAAAAAAAAAAACAAATATATTTTACACATGTGCCAGTGAAAAAGGTAGAACAAGAGCTCGCGCTCTGCTTATTTTTAGTCTAGCACACTGCAGCTGTGGCTCCAGTGGATCACTTTAACAGTTTGTGTGCTATAAAATTTTATGAGAGCACCGAATTAAAATGCATCGAACAAAATGCACAAAATAATGTGCTGCCGAGTGAACAAATTTAAAAAGTAGCTTTGACAAGAAACTTTCGGCAAATTATTTGCATATTGACGGCACTGATGAATCCTACGACGATGATTATAAAAATTAAGATGACATAATTGAAATGTAGTTATTATAAAGCTTAATTAAATTAATTATAACATCTATTTTTAATTGACTATAAATTTGTTATAAAATGTTTTCAACTTAAAATTTTTTTTATTAGAATACTCTATTACTTTTATTACAAACCCTACTGAATGTTCATCTTTTTGTTTAGCTTTATGTAAGACATTTGACTGTTTTTCGTTGTCGTTACAATAAGATCTAGCTTTTTTGGCTGCGCAATATATGGCAGCACTGTCAGTCACACCAAAAAACAGTGACTAAAATAACTACTTTTCGACATGAACATTGTGAACAGACGAACGACTGATCAACAGTGAACAGCTGAGCAGAAAAAAACAATAAGAAAGGAACACGCTCACTAGTTCATTTTAGTGAGCAACACTTTTTTGTTCACTTACTCGTGAGCAACCCATCTCTGACATGCATCTCCACCATAAAAGAGCACATAGGAATGTAAATACACAGAAAAGCTGTAGATCTTTAAAGAATACCTAATACATTTGTGTAACAGGTATTGAATATACCTATTTTGTTTGGTATGTCATATTTTCATTATAGAAATTTCTTTTATAAATTCATGGAAATTGAATTAAGGCTGAGTAGCTGTTTGTAAACAGCAGGTGTCAAGTGTTTTTAATTACATAGGTTGTATATGCATTTGTTTGTTGCGCATTTTTATACACATATATACTTGTGCCTTAATTTTATTATTATAAATATAAAGGAAGTGATTTCCGTTTTATTGAGTCGCAAAATAACAATAAATGTATGAAATTCAATAACAACAGATTGATGTCATTTTATATTTATAAAAAACAATAACAAATACGTCATGCCTACATATTTAAACTTACTTACTAATCATATACTTAAACAGGTTACTGTGCTTTAGTCCGAAATGCCCCTGAACTCAGCGCCTATCTACTTGAGCTTCTGTACATACACGAAAACACACACATATGGACGCCTACAAGCCATCTGAAGCCCAAATAACTGTTGAATCATTATGAAAATTGCAGGGCATCCAAATGTGTAAATAACTAAGGCAGAGATCTACCTTTAGAAATTCCAAATCAACCTTAAAACTATTGAAAATGTGTAAACAGGGTAAATTGTTGTCTTTTTGGCAAATGTATGTAACAGCCAGAGGGAAGCATCTCCGACCTTAAAGTATATATATATATGTATATTCCTGATCAGCATTAATAGCTGAGTCGATCTAACCATGTCCGTCTATCCGCTTGTATAAACGCGCTTATCGCAGAACCTCTAAAGGTTCGACTTCAAAGTTTTAACGTACGTCCTCGTAGCGCAATTATATTTTCAATAATCGATAACTTGCCCGGTATACAATCGATAAAAATCGATCTATAAATTAACTGGAGGTTAACCAAACGGTATCCACTTGTTATATTGTCACAAAGAAATTTAAAATCGTTAAAATAAGTCATTCTTAATTGCTTAAAATATAACGGAGAAGGCTATGCACTGTTCAAAATTAAAATTAATTGGATTTTTATAACTGGTCACAAAATAACCGTATTCTGTCTTAGCGCTATCTTTTTCGAAATTGGTGACAAGCATTAGAAAGTAAGTAAGTAAGGAAATACCCTGTACCTTTTGCAACCAGCATCAGATTGGGCTACGTCCTCTGTTTGTTAAGCTAGCAAGCACTTTTAAACATGTAAACAAATAATTTATGCCGTCTGCCGAGCAATCAACTGAACGAACCGACATAAGGACAAAAAGGAACAAGAGGTTCTTGTCAGTAGTTTCCAACTAGGGTATACCCTGAACACTTCATTTTTTTTGTTGTTAAATTTATATACATTTTGTTATTAACAAGTTCTCGAGTACCTAATATTGGCAGCTAATTAGAGTAAGGTGTAAAAGATGAAGGCTATAAAGCGAAAATTTTTTCATTATGCTAATTATTATCTCTATATATAAAACTATTTGTCCTGACTGACTGACTGTTGACTGATCAAAGCACAGCCTAAACCGTAAGAGCTAGGAAATTTTAATGTACTTACCTTATGTGATGAAGCTGCACGCTAATTGTGTAGTTTGCCATCCGATTTCATTATCAAAGATCTTTGTTTAAATTCATTTAACGGGTGTTTCACACTTTTCGGAAAATCCATTCCTCCTTGATGAAAATGGGGGTGAAAGATTTGGTGGGTTACGTTTCGGATTCATTCTTTATCATATGGGAAATCAATTCACACTTGTTGCAGATCAATTTTCCTCGGTAGCAACGTGATTCAAGGAATTTTTGGGAGAATTTTAAATTTGCATATGTATGCCTGTTTGTATGTGTACATGTTTGTTTCGTATATATGCAAACATGCGTACATGTATGATACCATATCCGGATACCACGCATGTATGTATGCATACATATACACACATAAATATATATATACATGCACATACATATGTATGCATGCATGCTGGATATGTATGTACGCATGTTTGTATATATATGTCTATATGTCTGCCTGCATGTCTGTTTGTATATATGCAAACAGGCATACATATGTATGTCGAAACATACACACACGCATACATAGAAACATACATACACACAAACACACATACATGCACACACACACATACATACATACATACACACACATACATACACACACACACATACATACACACACACGCATACATACATACATACATACACACACACACACACACACACATACATACACATATGTACATACATACATATGTACATACATACATATGTACATACATACATATGTACATACATACATATGTACATACATACATACATACATATGTACATACATACATACATACATATGTACATACATACATATGTACATACATACATATGTACATACATACATACATACATATGTATATACATTTATATGTACATACATACATATGTACCTACATATAAATTAACACACATACAAGAAAAACACAAGAAAAACACAAAAAAAAAACAACAAAAAAACAACAAAAAAAAACAACAAAAAAAACAACAAAAAAAAACAAAAAAAAACACCAACAAAAAAAACCAAAAAAAAAAAACCAAAAAAAAAAAAAACGAAAAAAAACACTACACCACTGGCTAGGCATGAAAAACTGCAGAGCCTACTTAAATTCTTGAGAATCGAGGAGGAGAGCACTTGGCAGAAATTCGTTGCATTTAAATTTGCAGCACAGCGACAAATAAGCTTGGTCTTCGTTTGGCATTAGAAAACAAAGATGCATGAATACATACATATATTCGTATATGCATACATACACTAACACACACACATATATACATACATACATACATTAACACACATACATACTCAGACATATACAATCCTTATGTGCGTTCGTAGAAAATACCTGTATTATTATAGGCTTTGTTCCATACAAGCTCACTATTTTAAGATTTGTAAAGAATCTATACTTTATTTATTGTTTGTATTAATTTAATTAATTAATTAGTTATTACAATTACAATTAGTTACACAGACAATACAATATACCCACAGACTATTAATAGAATTCTATATATTTTAGTGTATCAATCCATCATGGCTACTGAAGCTGATGCTGCCGATAAGGATTGCTTAGTTCGAGTTGCAGTACGGTGAGTAAAAATAAAACAAAACTTGGTGTTGGTTGTTTAGCGACAAATACAAAGTCAAAAATGATTTTTTCTATAACTTAATGTTAGTAAAAATGGGTTCTTTTTTAAGTTTTTTAACCTTTGTTTTAGTTTAGGGCCTGTTTTGGTACTCAAAACGGTTAGTTTTAACTATAAGCTATAAATATACTATTTGCTGATCGCAGGATACAATGATGTCTGTTTGAACTGACAACATAATATATTGGGAACAAAAATGACGTATTAGGGCTTCCTTAACTGTACTTTGGGGGAGAATTCAACGTGTTTACCTCAAGCGGGATAGCCTAATAGAAAGATGGCAGCCTCCGATAGCCGGCCGTGGCTTACAGATGGATGCAAAGCTATATAGAAAGGGTGCACCCAACACTAAAACGTTTCTGGCAAAGCATCATTGAATCATAGATTCACATCATTGAGCTTTAATTCAGTGTATGTTTTCGAACGTATGAAGAATTAAAATCTCAATTTGCTAAATAAATTCTTGAATAAATTCGGTTTTTATGGTCCCATATTAACGAAAATTTCAGGGCTTAAGTGTAAGACTCAAATATATGCATATCAAACAAATGTATTTCCCATTAAACTGCGTTATTATTTAGGACCTTTTGAATAGACTAAGCTAAGGTAATTAGTTTTTTGAACAAAATTTGATTTTATGTTTCGGATTTATGCAGAATCCGTCCGCAAAATTCAAGGGAGCTAATTGATATGTGCC